CCTGGATGTCACCAACGTATATACGGTCTCGGTAAGTTTGGATAGAGATAATGGTGTTTGGAAAGAGCTTGTTTTCACATTTCCTAAGCAGTCTCTTTTTCCCCAAATCATACAATCTGAGGACAGGTCCAATCCCTGCCAGCAGTCTTCCTTGGAACTGGCACAGAGCAAGAGGAACACCTTCTACTTGCGTCTTATGGAGAAGCTCAAGAGATTTCCCATCCTCCACAAACCTATAAATATGTATGAACCCAGCCACTAGATTTTTTTTGGGCCAGAACTGCATCCCTTTGACCGTACCAACAGCCAACAAAGTACCATACTCTTTATCATGGAAATTCACCGTACAGACACTGTATGCAGCTTCGTTGTCCTGAAGTTCCAGGAGGCAAGTTGTCGTAGCTGTCTTAGGATCAAGAACTCTGATGCAAGAAACCCACTTTTCAGACACTGCTTTTGGATAACCATACTGCTCATCAGAAAGCGGGTCTTCCTTATCTTCATCATCCGCACCATTCTCCATCTGATCTGCATTACCATTTTCTCCCATTCCACCAGCCTCGAAGCACTCCTTCCTTGCAGCTTCACGCTCTTCTGCGGTGAATGCTCCCTGGTCACTCTCGATAATAACCAACAACTTCCGCTTGGGTTGGACAACAAACTTTCTAGGCGTGTACCTCAGAGGGACCACTGTTTCGTTGAACGTTTCACCAAGACGGTCGATCATAAATATTCTCAGAGCATCTCCGGCGACAGAGACTACACCTTCGGCGCACTGATCAGATGAAAAGGGGGCAGCAAATTCTAAAGTGTCGTAAGAAAGTGGCGTCAAGTGGAAGTGTCCTCGATGAATATAACCAAGCCAAGGCCGGCTAGACAAACACAGCATTGCAGACCGACCTCTCACAGAAATGGAGAATAACTTGGGAGGCTTCAGTCCCAAGAACCGGGAACGAGAATCCGAAAGCTGACCAGTCACCATATCCACCACCGTTCTGAAAAGAACACCATTCTGCAGACCAGAATTAAGGAAGAGATTTGCCGGGTGATCAGCACCATCCTCTCCACCAATCGATGCCTGAACTTCGAGGAATAGCAGAGACTCCGGAGCTGAAGAGACACTTTGCACGCTGAGAATCTGCAGACAGTCGTCAGGATCCAGAGACAGAATGCGCACAGTATTATCATAGGATCCCACGGCAAGAAAGCGAGATCTTTGTCTTCCTTCAGGAACAGGCGCTATGTCCAGGCAAGCCACATCACCAGACATTTCATGTTTATCCACCTCCATCAGCTGACCCGACATATCTGCCTCAAAGTATATAAGCTCTCCCCCACTCAATGCAATGAGACAAGCACGCCGTGAAAAGAGG